TGGGTTTCATTGTGGCCACGTGAACAGTCAGGCACTCCCCAACCCACAGTCACCTGTGCTCTGTCAGAGTATTCGCAATTGCATGGCACAGATGAAAGGGATAGGGTTGCGCTCTGCGTGTCAACCACTGTCCTGCACTGTCCTTGCCTACCAAAACAATGTGTTTGCGATTTGAAAATGAACAACGTCCATGCTGTGGCACACACTCGCGCGCTAAGTGAAGGAGAGAGAAGGGTCCCCCAAAGAGGATTCCAGTTGCTTTGCGCCAGGGCATGTGATAAGCACAAAAGTCAATTCGCATGAGAGTGAATCGATCGGCAAGTTGTTTCAGGTATGGTGTTAGCCAGATTCGGCTAGACCAGGGGTTCTCAATCGCCCAACACAAGTTCAAAGCAATGCATGTGGAGATGATTTGTTCAGACACACTGAGAAGGCTGTTGCCATCTTGTATTTTGCGTTTGTCTGAAAAACTCAAGTCATCAAAGCCAAATAAATTCTGCTCATCATCTCTCAGAGGGGGGGGACCCCCATCATGCTTTCTAGCTCTGCTCCAGGTTGTGCAAGGGGTTCCCAACCATACCATAGCTATAGAGCCCTGATGTTTGTGCAAGAAACGAAGGATTCGGTGTAAAACAGCTGGTTGTAAAACGTCGCAAGCTGTGCCGTAGGCAATATCATAGGCTATGGAGATGAAACCCACGGCTGAACAAGCTTGTGACAAACGCGCGCAACCACTGAAAATTTCTAGCGCAAATTTCTGAACCCCAAGCTGTTGTGAAGGCCGAAAAATCTTGGGGCCTCCTTTGGAAGCATCTGCTCTGCCAGCTGCGACTTTCTCTGCACGGCTGCCGGGAGGTCGTTGAACTCCTGGTTCAGGCGCGCATGCGCCTCGTATCTCCGCACTGAGCTGTCTGCTTGCCAACGCCCTCTCTGCTTCACCTCGCTTAGCGGGCGTAGCTTGTAGAACCTGTCGTGCGAAGGTCCTGAGTGACGGAGTTGGTAGAGCACTGCGTGACTCTTCGGAAGTCCTATCGCCTTGAGCGCTGCCTGCCAGGACTGAACCAAATCGTAGTAGGTGATGTCGAGGAGGAAGGCTCCCGGAGAATTGAGACTTCTGAGGGCTGGACCGATCCATGGCAGGAGAGGAGAGTCCAGCAGGATGCTTCGTCCGCTAGGCCCACCTTGGACCGTTCTTGCCGCT